GTCCTCTTATCTCTGACAACCTAGAGATGGTGACAAAGCAGACAGATATAAGTTTCAAGATTTCAATCACAGTCAAAATTCACAAATTCTATGAGAAGTAGATGAATCAAAACGTAGTGAAAAACAGCAAAATCCACAAAAGGTTATAAGAATGCGGGCACAGTCAAAATAAGGAAAACAATTGGATTCTGAGACAATTACGGCTCACTCTTACCAACCAAATATCACACAAAAATGAGAACATTAAGCAAAGCACCTACATACTGAAGGAAAAAACAAAGTACCCTGTACAGTTTTTTACGGTGTTCTAGCTAGGATCCCCATAGCCAAATACCACACTCCAATCACCCCCACACACATTACACCACCACAGCGGCAATGAAATGTAGGGGTTAAACAGTATTCAACTCAAGTCGTTAATTCTTTTTACGGTCATAGGTAGAAGGAAAATTTCAAAGTTCTCACACAGATTTCATTGACCAACAAAAATTATTGTAGAGTACCATCTTTCCAAGCCCCAAAAGCAGGGCTTCACACCAACCCCTAAGGTTCATAATAATATCAAAATATTGAACCAGCTTGGAAGCTCAATCGGTTCACTAACCTGACTCCAAATTCGTTCATATCGACCCAACAAGCAATAATTCAAGGTCGCCTGTGAGTCAGGTCAATTTCAACCAACTCAACCTCCAAATGTTGATTCCAGCTGTCCAACCTATATTTAATGGTCAAAAGTGATTTTAACTAACTTTGAGATCTCAAAATAAGTGCTTGAAAAATCGCATAAGTTGATGTAGGTTGTCAGTAGGCATCCTACAGTCAAATGTTGTTAGAAGTAAAATGAAAAAATGCATCATGACAACTTAGACCATTCCAATATGCAACTTGTAGCTACTTGTACGGTTACACATCCAAGTTCCAACCAAAATATAAACAGCAGATGAGACCTACCTTAGAATGAATAAAACAAAGTGCTTTGTGCTCTTCATATAAAAATCTGAAGATAAAATTTAAGAAGTTCACACCAAGCAAACAATTTATAATAATAAAAGAATTTTAAGGAAAAACAAAGGAGATGAGGCAGACACTTACTCTTGCCATGTTAAAGGATGGAAATCGTGAAAATGCTTTTGAAAGAACATCATCATTCACCTCATTACCAAGATCGCCACAAAAAAGTCGATAATCATCTGCAAAAGCCAAAACCCAACAGAATTGTAAGGCATAAGTATGCATTCAATTGAAGAAAAGTCAGGTAAAACAAAAAATGCCATTCTTGTGAGAGAATAACTTGCTCAAAATCCAAAAAACTAAAATTACTACTGAATCCCATGAAGAGTAGGAATTTAACAAGGTCTCACAGTTCTAGTGTATCAGTGAACTAAGTAGCCAAAAGGGAAACCTTCAAAGAAGATAAACTGAAACGGGACACAATCATGGAATTGAATTATAACAAATATTATATAAAAGAGCATTTAATTATGAAACCACACATACTTTCTGGCCATTCTGCAAGAGTTGGGTCCTCCCAAGCCTGCCCGGCAGCTTTACGAGGGATAGCTTTCTTCTTAGCTTCTGCTTTGTGCTCAATTTCGCTGTTTGCAAGAGCAGCCTTCACACTCTCGAGAGCCTCAGGTGTAATCGTCTGCGCATCCCTTTGAAACAACTGCTGAGCCTGTTCATTTACACTAAAACAAATTATGCACATGAAACTTACACACCAAACAACTTCCCCTAAATTAGCAAAAAATGATACGTAGCTCCATTACTTATTTCAAAACTGAAAATCTCAAAAAGTCTTTCTCTACATTTTCAAATTGCAGTAGTTCCTCAAACAAGAATCCCAAAAATTATAGCTCTTTAAAAGCAAAAATAACATGAATTCGTTTCCACAAAAATCATACTTTTCACTAAAGCATACGAATTTTCGAACCGAAGAAAAACCCCATTCTATTTATTCTCAATCATTCAAGAAATCAAAGACATCAATTATCAAACCCTAAGCGTATGAGTATGCATATAAGTGTAAATGCACATAAAGACGCGTCCCGAAAACAGACCTGCTGATACTGCTGAGGAAGAGAGTAGACACCGGCGACCGGAGCCGGGGCCGGGTAGACGGACGGAGCGGGTGGCGCTGCAACGGCGTAAGGCGCGGGGTACTGGGGTTGCTGGAGGTGGAAGGGCATGGGGAAGTAGGACGATGACGACGAGGCATTCGCGTATGTGAATTGGGAAGAGGTCAATGGAGGAGCTGCGGAGGAAGACGGTGGGTTCGCCATGGCCGATATCGGAATAAAGGTAAAGCTAGGGTTTTGAATGGTACGAATTGGGGGCAATCGGGATCGTAATTTCAGAGAGTTCTAGAGCTTTGCTCTTTTGCTTTTGACGGTATTTCTCACGCCGATTTTTACGGAAAAAAAATAATTTTACAAGACCAAAGCCCAACAGAAACCCCATACAAAACAAAAGGAGAGACCCATTCAACAAAAGAGCAGGTCGGCCAGAAGGCCCGATAATACTTTTGAACTCGTTTAGAAATGCTTTTTGACAGAAAACAATAATGCTTAAGCGTTGTTAGCTTTAGAGGCACGTCTAAATTTTTAATAAAAATCTAAAAACACTTTCAAACCTTTTGTGGTAAATATATTTAGAAGCTTGTTGGTTTCGTGGAGTTGTTTTTAGCTATTTCTAAAGCACTCCCAAATATGCTTGTGGTTGTCTAGAAACACTTTGTTACTAGTCTTATGATCTAGTGATATTTCCTTTCACCTTGTAAGAGGACGACTCAAACATAGATGGGAGTCTGATACCTAGATAGCTTATTGTGTGACTCAATGTAAATGTGAGTCTGATACCTAGTTTGCCTTGTAAGAGGATGACTCAAACATAAATGGTGTCAATAACATCTAATTGGGTCCCCGTATGCATAACCACTAAATGAATATTTCATATTCATGGCCATGTGTTAATCATGATATGTAACAATTGTGAGACACTCGTTTTTTTTTATGGTCAACTAATCACCAATGAATGAATAATAGTACTATAACTATGTGTCGTAAACAGAAAGAAACCATTTTTCTTATGAACAATGTCTTTTGTCTTACTTTGAGGGGCATAAGGTCACGGGGTTGGAATTTTGTTTTTCATGTATGTGGAAACCAAGCCATTGTATTACGTGTCATCATAATATTAAGTAATTATAAAATACATTTTTAATGTTTTTATTCGTATTGTGATCAGTGACGGAGTTAGGATTTTATGGATATAGAGGTCTCTCACATGCTAGGTAATTTAAACTCAAAACATGATAAATTGAGTAATTTGCATAAAAATCGAAAGACCACAAATTCAACCGAGAGAATTAAAAACATTATACAGACCCAGAAACTTGAATATGATGTTAGGAGTAAACAAGAATTTTTTTTTAAGTATAAGTTAAAGCTAAAGAAAATTTGATAGAATAAGGAGGGGTAGTGAAGGTTGCATTGCAATAAGAGGAATGAAGAGAAAATTGAGGTTTGGCCTAGAACATAAAAGAGTTTTGAGTAAGTATACACTTGAATTATAAGGATATTAGATTGATATGCTGCAGAAGTATCTGTTAGAGTACCCAAAAAAACAAAGACAGGATAAGTCAAATATTGTTTTAATTTTTAAGTGAATCTGCCTATATTATGACATATTATGTGTCGTCTTTTGTTTCACGTACATGAGAAAATCTTTCCACGAGATTGTTATTGGTATTCAAAGACATTTTCCTATCAAAAACCATAAAACTTCTTACATGTTAAAATACAAAGCCCCTTGCACGCGTGAGTTCTTCGTGTGTGGACTGTATCAAACGTGGAAGAAGGCCAAGTTGGGAATAAAATATTTTTCTTGTTTTAAATATTTACTCCAATCAAAGTGATCAATAAAAGGGATCAACCATTAGGACCAATCAAATGACTTGTTTTAGAGGGTCACCAATTATACACGTTCAATTGACTTGTCTTGATGCTTAATCGTTTTGATATATATTTTCTGGGTAATTTTGAGTGTTTGAAATCATTAAAGGCTACGTCTTTAACAACGCTAATTAAAATCCGTTAAAAATGATAACTAGTTCGTTTGAAAATATTTTTAAAATGATTTAAAAAAATTTTGGTGAAAATATTTTTAGAACCATATTTTAGTAAAACGCAAGTAAATCCTGTAAAAGCAGCACTTCAAGTGTTTTTAGAACCAAACAACATGTTATCTTCAAACACTTTTAATTATTTTAAAAGTACTTCTAAATGAGTCCATAATTTATACTATTATACTTTCAATACTATAAAGTCATTTTCTTATATTAAATAAACGAAATTAATGTCACATGCTATATATGCGATTGAAATTAATTTATCGAGAAAATATATAAGAACGTAACATATGAAGGTTTCATTGGAAAAAGAAGAATATAAGTAAAAGAAAACTGAGCTTTTATTAAATCAGCACAGTAAATACATGAACATACATTAAAATTAATTATCTTGACAAGCACGATTTTTTATTGAAAACTGCAGAATGAGATTTTTGAAGTACTAATAACAATTCAATTTTTCATTACAACAAGTAATTCTTCTCATACCTCAACAACCAAACATAAAGTATAAAAAAGTCAACACGGGCGATCCAGTAGTTGAAAGGAATTTCATGTTTATCATTCGCATAACATGTTATGAGTTTGATTTCTAACGCTAATGAATTATGCGATACTAATCAACAAAAACTAAAATGCATCGGTAAGTCTTCCTGACCTCTGTGTCTAAAGCCCCAATTGGTCACACATTGTTTCATTTAGCACGAAACAACGTGTTATTCCCAAGGGCGCCCATGGAATTTAACATTTTGCCGTTCGATAAAATCTTGCTGGTTTCTACACGGAATCCCGAAGCAACGGACCAACCAAACTCAGGTAATAATTAAAATAAATAAAATAAATTCACCTACTTTTTTACATCACAAAGTAATCCAAATCCGGTATTTATCCAAAAAAAACATCACATAAACAATATCCCCAAAACTCTTCTTCCCAGAAAAAAGGAAAATTAAAAACCCTAGATTTTAATTTCCAAATGATTTTTCAGAAGACCCAACTGTTATCATATCATCTGTTATTTGTCAGCTTTAATAAAAAGGTACTGACTTTGCACCAAACAAAAATTAAATGGCACTGAATCAATTTCCAAGCCTAATAGGGTTAGGGTTTCCTCCAAATTTGGAATTTTAGCCCCAAATTCTGGTACAAGAATTTTTGTCCTTCTTTTTCCAGATTTGCCCTTGCCCACAGTTTCTGGATTTTGCTTAACTTGTCTCAGATGAAATTCAAGGCGGTTTGAACTTTGAGAGGTTGGCCTTGATTGTCATTTATGAATTTGATGGGGGTGGGTACCCATCCCAGACCAATTATTCTGTGGCAAAAGTGCTTTCTGCTTTCTGTCTCTCTGGTGTTAGAATTAGGGTTAGGGTTTTTAGATCTGTTCAATCAGATTTAATTTCTTACGGATTTGAAATTTTTGTTGAATTTAATTTATTTTTTTAGTTAATTTTTGGAATCAATTTTTGTTGAATTGATCTGGTTTCTGCAAATACTGGGTGTAGTGATTGAAGTTTGAGCTGGATTGAGCTCAGTGGGGATTGCAGAATCTTGGATCATCACGATGTAAGCCCTACTTTCATTTTAATTTAATTTATTTTCTTGTAGTTTGACTTTTTGGGCAATCTTATCGGTATCTGTAATTCTGTCTGGTGCTACAAAATTATGGATAAATTACAAATGCCTGGTGTTTTTTACCGATTAATTTGATATATTTAATAATATTTCAATTCAATTAAGAAATTTCAAGTGATATTTAATGGAATTATCATAATGTCTGATCATCTGATTAATTTGTTTGTTTTCATGAATGCATTTGTGTATTGTGATGATAGTTATGTATGAGATCGTTCTGATATCGGATCATAAATTTAATGGAGCTGATACGTATGATCTTCAGCTGCAATATCTTTCAACTGCTAAAATACGATATTACTGTTGCGTGTTCGTTTTTTTTTTTTCTTTCTTTTTTTGGTCAAACGATAGATAGATTTTGTTACATTAGACGTTAGATTAGCCACCGACGGCGTTCGAACGCACGCCGTCATGCAAGGTGTCTGGAAAATATCTTTTTGTTCAGAAACTGATGTTAGTGTGAATAGCAACGTCTCTGGAAAATATATTATAGTTTCAGTCCTCTGTGCTGAATTTGGTGTACCCAAAGTCTGTTAATGCTAATGAAGCCAAAGAAACTTGGTTTACTGAAGCATGCTTTTGAAACCCTAAGATGTCTGTTTTTCGATTTTGCAGGCAAAATCTTTGGTTTGTTGCAAGCCTACCTGGTTCGACTTAGTAGTGGGATGCAAAGGAGCAGTATTTCATGATATTGTGGTTCATAAGCCAGAAGATAAGTGATCATCCTACTTCATAAAGATTGATTCTTTCCACGTAGATGAACAGATTGGAAAATTATCGGTTTTAATATCACGGTAGTATGGGGACAGAACTCATGAGAGTTTGCATAAAAGATGATAAATAACGAGGAGTTTCCTTCAGTTCCACCCGGATTTGAGTCATTTGCACCTTTCAGCTTAAAAAGGATAAATGAAAGTGAGAAAAAAGATATTGAAAACAGAATAAGTTGCTCAGTGACTGCTAGTCCTTCCAATTCACAGTCAGTTCAGATGGAAACTGACGTTGACAATGGCGAGGTTGCAAAGAGGTCTGTTCGACGCAGACAATGCATAAACCATGGGCGAAATAACAAGTCAGAGGATGAGTCTGATTCAGACCGACTTGAACACGTAAATTTTCAAATATCCCCTGATTTTATGGGTTTTAATCATTTATATGCCATTTCTCTACAAGAATTCTGTACATGTAGATGGTTTCTCATGTACCACCTTTTTTTCTTTTTAGCAGAATTGTCCCCCAAGATCTGTTCTTCCCAAGGGGGTTGTACGCGGATGTCCACAATGTAGTAATTGCCAAAAGGTTAATCTTCAAACTTCACACCCTTTACTCTTACCCTTCTATTTGCTTGGTTCCTTTGTAATCTTTTATCATAAGTATCTTGCTTTCACCTTACTTATGTGAATCGACAAACTGTCTGGGGTTTTGGTTTTTTTGTTCTGCCTTCAAAGTTATAGAATTGATGATTAAGTGTTTTGAACAGGTCTCTGCAAGATGGCATCCACTGGAGGGTCAAAGGCGGGACCTTCAGAACGCTCCTGTATTCAGACCTACTGAGGAGGTGCAACTTATTACTTGTGGAATTTGAGTTATTACAGTTTTGGAGTTTGTTGACCTATTCTTACTCATCTTACTTGTAAATTAAAAAAGTTGATTTTTTTTTTTCAAAAAGGTTTTCATTTTTGAAGAAATCGGCTTTCTGACTCAGTTTGCTACCTAATTTCAGGAGTTCAAAGACACGTTGAAATATATAGCAAGCATACGCGCTAAAGCCGAACCATATGGTATTTGTCGCATTGTTCCTCCCTCTTCTTGGAGACCTCCCTGTCCACTCAAGGAAAAACCTATTTGGAGTGCCTCTAAATTTTCTACTCGAGTTCAAAGAGTCGATAAACTGCAAAATCGAGATTCAATGAGAAAGGTTCCTAAAAGCCATAGAGAACCACAACAACCTTCCCAACAAGGAAGATTTCGGCCACAACCCCCTAGGATGTATCAAAGGCCATACGCACCACCACAAGTCCAACCATAATCTGCCCAAACCAATTCAGGTACATCCATGGATAATGATCAAATTGTTTAATTACTAACTTCTTTGGTGCAGTGGCAGCAAAATCAAAGCAAAACAATGCTCAATCAAGCTAAGGAGGTGGAAGAGTTGAAGAAACAAATGGGCCAAATGGCAGAGTTCATAGGGCAATTCAAAGAGTAAGGCAAACTGCCTAGTACAACTGTTGTGAATCCAAGGGTATGATTTGAATTCGTCAAGGCCATAACATTGAGAAGTGGAAAAGAAGTTGGAACGGACCCCCAACCATCAAAATCTGCCCAAACGGAGGACGAAAAACTGCAACAAGAGGAGGATGTCCAACGCATACCCACGGCAAGGAAGGAAACAACCTTTCCGTGCACTCCTACACTTCCTAAACCATCCAATTCGACCAAGGTAAGTCCTAATTCGAATTTGTTTAGTTCTATTCCACTAAATGTGCCCTTTCCTAGCAGGTTTATGCAAACCAAGAAAAAAGAGGATGAAAAAGACATTATGGAGACGTTTAGGAATGTGCACGTCAATATTTTGCTCCTTGATGCTATAAAGCAAATCCCGAAGTACGCTAAGTTTTTAAAGAAGCTTTGTACAACAAGGAAACAGATTCGGGAGAAAAAGGTGGTACATATGAGTGAGAATGTCTCTGCCATGTTGCAAAGAAAGCTGCCACCTAAATGCAAAGATCCAAGTAGTTTCACTACCCCTTGTGTAATTGGTAATACAAGGTTTGAACATGCCATGCAAGATTTAGGTGCATAAATTAATGTCATGTCATATTCTGTTTATGCATCTATGAATCTAGGAGAGCTTAAAAATGATGGTGATATTATTCAACTAGCCAATCGATCTAATGCCTACCCGAAAGGAGTTTTGGAAGATATTTTGGTGCAGGTAGACCATTTGATTTTTCCTGCAGATTTCTATGTGCTTGACATGAAGGATTCAGCCCACTCTCCACCATCATCAGTCTTACTTGGACGACCTTTCGTGAAAACATCTCAAACCAAGATTGATGTGGCCAAGGGAGCGTTAACAATGGCGTTTGGTGGTGATATGATTAACTTTAAAATTCCTGAATCTCTTGAGAATTCTAATGATGTTCGTTCTTGTTTTTCCATTGATGTAATAAAAGATGTAGGGCAGGAAAATTCTGCACCAATTAAGAAGGATGAATTTCGAACCACCAAAAGACGAGGGAATTGAAGTGGAGCACAAAGAACGCACCACTAACCTCACAATGCACAATCTGGCCGAGAGCACCATTGAAGAATCTATTGACAGTGCTGCCACTTCATTGCAACACATTGGTTAGCCATCTAGTCCGATTTCAATTCCCATTTCAACTAATAGGTTGTTACCTTCTTTGGTGCAGGTCCCCAATCGAATCCATAATGGTGGGAACATTTACATTGACTTTAGAAAGCTAAATGCTACAATCAGGAAGGATCACTATCCTCTTCCATTCATAGATCAAATGCACGAGAATTGTGAGGTGCATGCCGTGAAGGACATACCCCTCCATGCTATGGGCCCTATTCAAGCTTAAATGGAGGTATCGTCTGGCTGGAAGACGTTAAAGCAAGCGCTTCTTGGGAGGCAACCCATGTGTTCAAATGAGGGATTGAAGGAATTCGAGCTCCATAACTAGATTTGCGTTCTTAAACTCTAATCTCTCTTGATTTTACTTTGCCATGCTTGTTGTGCTTGTTAGTTGTGTTGTTTGCTTGCTTTTATGTGAGTCTTTCTTTGAAACATTGAGGACAATGTTTGGTTTAAGTGTGAGGGGGTAAACAAGTGTTTTTATTGAAAATTCGTGGTTTTTTTCACCTAGCATTACTAGAGTTGTTTTTCATTGTTTTTAAGTGTTTTTAGAGTATTTTGGAGTGTTTTAGTATATTAGAAAAAGTTATGAAAAACCCAAAAAGAGTTGTTTTTTGTGTGTTTGTGTCTTAGGATACATTCCAACACAATGATGAGGATTTGGTTTTTAATTACATGACTGTTAAAGAAAGTTACAAACATGGGTGGAAGTTTGATATGCTCTTTGGTTTATGCTTGGTTCGAGTTGTCGTTTACGAATTCACATGTAATCACAAAGAAAAAAAAAGAAGTTTTTGTAACATGCTTGAAGGAAGAAACTCAAACTAACGCTACAACCCTAAGAGACTTGAGCCTAAACTTTATTGGGAGAGTGATTAATCTGTGCATTCTTGTTTTCTAAATTCGTTGCATTATCTCATTATTCTTTGCTTGGTTGCTACTTAGAATGCGTTTTATCACTTTAGTTCCAAATACCAGAACTCATGCCCGTTTCATTCAAAGCTTAAAATTGAGTGCATAACATATAACAAGATGAAGTTGTTTAGTAGTTACCACCAGAGCCAAAAAGCCTTCGTCCCATGCATTTGTTTTGTAGGTTTAACCCCTTTGAGCCTTAATTAGCCTATTTTCCTTGTTAACCACATTGTCCCCACCTAGCCTAGAATAGGACTATCCATACCCTTGTTCTTAAAGTATAGTGGAGCAAGACTTAGAGGGAATTCCTTTTGATCTAACATATTGTAGAAATCAAGTGTGGGGGAAGGTTATGTACATGAGAAAAAGAAAAAAAAAGAAAAAAAGAAAAAGTGATAAAAAAGTAGAAAAAGAAAGAAAAAAATTGTGAAATAAGTGAGAAAGAACTCACAAGTATTGGTTGTTGAAGAAAAGGTCCAAAAAGTTTGGATATTACCCTAAGTGTACGAAATCCCCTTAGTGTTTCAAGTTATTTGCTACATTCAAGAGTGAATTCTAAGTTGATTTCATTACTTTGCTTACTATTGATTTAAGAACGTTTGTTTTTCCTTACCCTTCTTTGTTAGCTAATACCCTTAGCCCCGTTACAACCTTTAGACTTCAATCTTGGTTGTTGTGTGTTTCAATATGTGGAGTTTGGGATTGGTATGAGCATATGGTATCTCTGGTTCTCACATCTAAGTAGTAGCATTCCATTCATGAGATCATATCTAAGCATGTTTAATAACTCCAGAAAATGCTTTCTTTGTTATACATATATGTGAGTATTCGCCTACATGTTTACCTCAATCCTCTCATATATAACTAGTGTATGGTGTGTGGTCAGAAAATGTGTGTGAAAATAGAGAGTATCTTGTAAGGAATTGAGCAAATTCTCTAAGGCATGTTACTACATTCAAAACATCGTTTTAATTGGTTAAATGTGAACTAGTAAGTGGTGACTATGATTAAGTATGTGCTCAAGTGTGAAGATGACTAAATATGTGGGAATGATGATGTTTACCATGTCATGTGCATTGGAAATCCCTGAGGCAAATGTTGGAAGGATTAGAGTGTGTTTTGTTTACTTTGTTTTATTTTGTTTGTTTCGTTTTGCTTAAGGACTAGCAAAAGCTAAGTGTGGGGGAATTTGATAGGAGCATATTTATGCGACTTAGTTTGCTTATCTTCTTGCATTTTCGTAGTTTATTTGTGTTTATTATAGTGTTTAAGCTATTTTCGTGTGTTTGTAGGTCCAAATGACAAAGTTGGCAAGAAAGTGCAATTTGGAGCATTTTGAGTCAGTTTTGGGCATCAAATGGATAGCTTATGAATGGAGCAAGATGGATGGACGAATTGGAAGTTCAAGAGGCTAGGAATGTGCTAAAAAGAAGAAGAAAATAAATCCAAGACCAAGAAGATAAGAAATCAGCTCAAAAAAGGAACATTATCCAAAACCTTATCCAACCTTATCTTATCCAAACTAACCTTATCTTATCTTATCCTTTCATAATCTAGCATTATCCAATCTTATCTTATCCAAATCAGTTTTTACCTTAATTCCAGCGATTTATAAGGGATAATTATGCATTTAAAATACATATTTCAGATTCTAGAAGCCTTATCTTCTTTCCCTATAAAAGTGACGCCTCAACCCCTTACATAAACCTTGTCCCACTTTGATTTCAGAAACCTATCCTAACCCTTAGGGATTTTGCCTTTCTCTCCCTATAAATACAAGTACGCAACATTCATTAAGATCACCACCCTTTACCCACCTTTCATCACAAATTCGTCCCCTTCATCCACACCACACATACAAGAGCCGAAACATCAGAAAATACATATTTTTGCGCAGATTTGAAAGGAAGGAAGGAGAGGAGACCCTTGGAGTCGTGCCTGCCATTCAAGTTTGGATTGTTGGAGCGTTTCTAGGTGTATTCTATCCTTAGTTTTAATTCAATGTTTAATTTAATGTTATCTTCAGTTTTTAAAGACATGCGTAACTAAGTTCTTATTAGTTAGTGGTGAATTTGAAGCCATGGACATATGTTTAATATCAATTGATTCCTTTCAGTTATTGTTTCGTAAAACATGGATGTGATTTACTTATCTATTTTGATTGATAACTTATTCTTGTGTGTTGATTAAGGATGCATACTTAGTTTGCATGCATGAATTTGATGCTAAATTATAAGAGACTTTCACCTAATCGTTAGGAACTTATAATTACAAGTAGTGGAGATTGTTAGTCACAATCGTGTTAAGTAGATTCTTGGCAAGAGTATCATGCAGTTCATAGTTATGATTGTCTTGTCAATGCTTATGATTTCCATGGAACTTAATAATCTTTGAATGTATCTCTATCATGTTGTTCATATAGGGAACTTGATAAGAATAATTTGGTTGCGATGCGTTGTCCATTCAATTGAATGAATTTAGGGAAATCTGAGAATTAATTTGTGCATTCACGATTAATTTGGGGCATTGTCATTCATGGTTTAAAGAAACAATATACTGGAAATCGATTTATGTTGCATATGTTTATGTGTGGAGTAGGATCCTCTAACTAGCCTATTTCACCATCCAATTCACTCAATTTCATATCTAGTTTGCTTTAGTTTACAATGTATTTAGTTTAATCAAATTCGTCAAGATCAACCCCCCTTTCAATTAAGTGTCTTGGATTAGTTAAAAAGGTGTTTCAATATGTCCAAATTAGTGTTTTGAGTCTCACTAGTGTTAAATTCATCCAAATAGTTCTTAGAACCCGTTTTGAGTATTTTTAAGTTAGTTTTGCTGATTTGAGTGTTTTAGGTCAGTTTAGAGTTTATAGAGTCTAGTTTTGTGTTTTTAAGTCTAGTTTAGTGTTTTAGAGTTTAATTTAA